CTAGAACAAAGAAATGGTGCCCTTTCTATAAATGCTAAAAGAGGAATTCTAGGCCAAGACTTGAATCGGCAAAACTAAGAAATGGTGCCCTTTCATAAGTCTAGCTTTCCTAAGTAAATGTAAAACCATGAAATCGGTAGACCTAATGGTGGTAGCCCTTCTCATGTGTGAAATGATGAACCTTGGACCGGCAGGCTTAAGGCACCCTTAATGAAAAATCGGTAGGCCTAAGGCACCCTTCCAGGGGGATTTAATGAGCTATCCTTATGAACCTTGATTGGCCATGACTAAGAAATGGGGCCTTTCTTGGGAAGAGGTACTATGAGTTGGTTGAACTAGAAAAGGAACCTTCTCTAAGTACATATGTGATTGAATACTCTATGGGAAACAAGGCTAGCACCGAGTGGATGTGGTTAGGAAGGTGGCCTAGTTGAGTATGAGATTAGGCACAATGAACTTCCTTGGACATCCCCTAAACCATGTGCCTACATGGGTTGCTTACTAGTTCTACCCTTGGCAAGTAGAACAACCTCCACGGAGTAGGATAGACTCCGGATTCCATACCTAGCTAGTATGGTCTATGTCGGTTATGCCTATTCCCATCATGTGGGATGTGCACTCTAGTTATTGGATAGGTTCTACAACGTGTAGGTAGTAGTATGGGATGCTATCTACACATGGCACGAGTAGGCTTTGAAGATACTAAAGTGAGTTCCCTAAGTCTAACGACTATTATGTGAAAGTCCCCTTATGTGCTTGAATGTCTCCAAAAATGGTTTCTTAAAGAATGTTGGTCTATTGATGTTATGTTGTAAAGGAAATGTCCTTATCTAAGGTAATCTTGAGGAACACTTAAGTGTGCTTGAAGAGGTTGTATGGGCGGTCACTTCTTGTCTTACTCAAGTGTGTCTTAAGGTTATATTAGGTAGAGGTCCTATGGTAATGAAATGGCATGTGTTCCTTTAAAGTTAAGCATGGGTTGTATATGAATATATGTTGAGTATGTATACGGTTGGCTATGGTTTTATATGTGAACATTGACTTAGTATGTTATATTGTAATGGTAAATTTCCTTATCTATGGTAACCCTTAGGAATACTTAGGTGTATATGAAGAGATTGTATGGGCGGTCACTTCATGTTTCACTTAAGTGTGGCTTTGGGTAACTTGAGATAGAGGTCAAGAAATGATGAAAAGGCTTACTTGTATTTTTTTTCATGAAGTTTTACCAAATGGCATAAAAGCATGTTTCTCCAATAAACGTCCCTTTTAGCATGTTTTTGCATGGCTTCCATACTTAGTACTTAATTGTGCTAACCCCTTTCTTTCCCTTTTTGGACTAAAGTGTAGGGATTTGGAGATGATGACATGTCATGGCTTTGATAGGTTTCTAAGTGTTGAAGATGAAGACTTGGTGAGTCCTCATAGATTCGAGGACAATACCCAATATGTTCTTTTATGTCTTTTTTGTATTGTTTGAGTTGTGTACGGGATTAGTCCCGAATTTTGTACTCTAAAGTATTAGATGGTTATGAGACATCATGTATAAAGTCTAGAAAGTCTTCCGCTTGCTATTTTTAATTAAATGTCTTCCTTGTAAAGAAAGTTTTTAATTCCTTATGGTTTTAGTGTCTATGCGATGAATGAATGCTAAGAGGCTTGTATTAGACCTCTTCGAGGTCGACTAATATGGGGATAACTTTTTATTCTGAACTCAAAATGAGGCAAACTTGGTGGCGTTAGAAAGAAGACTCAAAGACATTTAATTTGATAGGTCATGGGCCTCCTAATTCGTATGTGTTGAGACATATGATAGTTTGAAGTTGACCCAAAACTTAAAAACTAATGGGTGACTTGTACAGACCTCTAAATGGACTGTCCAAGTCACCACGGGCTGTCTAGGGTCCTGTCTAGGTGACCCCACCTTGTTAGCCTTGGACAATCGTCCACCATGCTCTAAACGGGTCGTAGACCCCTAGACGGACCGTCTAGGGTGACGTGAAGGGTCTATGGTCCATTTTGGGTTTTTGGACTTGCCTGCTTGCCATTTTTAGCCCTTTCCCGAAGTCCGAGGTGTTACATATGTTTAGGCCTAGGTGAGGTCTTAGTTGATTTTTTAGAAATCGCAAACTTGTTTTGATCTTTTTAGGTGTTATGTTAGTTTCTAGTGAATTTCACGGATGTCGGTTCAAGGAGATCTCGGATTCTTGTTTCGACAATTTCATTAAGTTTGGAAAGTCAAGTAAAGTCAATTTGCATATATGATTTGTGTATACGGGATTCTGAACGAATTCTGAAGGTCCTTCTAATGTTTTTAATGCTGGCTGGTTTTCTAGTGTCTGATGTGTTCGTGTTCATAAGATCATATTAAGGAGAGTCATTCTTAACAACAATCCATATTAGACATGCATACATTCATAACCTTCATAGCATAAGAGAATCACACCACAACCACCTTCAAAGCCTACTTGTGCCATGTATGAATGAAGTATCATACCCCTACTCACACTAATTAGAACTCTTTAGAAAGTCATAAGTCATAGTTCATATTCATGTTCTTGTCATAGTTCATATTCTTTTCATGTTGGAAAATATAACCTTAACCGACATAGACCATGTGAGCTACATGGAATCCAGTCCCTTGCCCCCACACCGTAAGAGGTGTCCTACTTGCCCAAGGTAGAACTACATGTTTTAGCTTTTAGGTGGATCCGCTAGCTAAAGACCTATGTGGGCACATAGTTAAGGGATAGGGAGATTGTTTCTAGAAACCCATACTTCTGATGTAGAAGGTTTCCATCTCATGAGGTAATCATGTTGTGAACCCGAACTAACTGACGTATAAGGAACCCATGTGGAAAGCTGGACTAACTGACGTATAAGCTTTCACCTCATATTCAAATCCACTCGGTGCTAAGCATAATTCCATTTAAGTTTATATTAAGTCTTTGCTTAAGTTCATGTTCATGGTGGAATACCCTAGCAACTCAAACCAACATAGTATCATAATAGCTCATAGATTTAATAGGTGAGAATAACCTTTGAACCTTAGAATCATAAATATGTGAGTAAACCTTTCACGTCATGTTCATAGTGTTTCATGAGAATAACCTTTCAATCAACACAACAAGCTCATCATAAACAAACATACTTCATGCATAATCATGTGGAAGGGTATAGGGGAGAGTGTCTTTACAATCAATACCACAAGTACACCATAGTCATAGAGTCTTCACTTTCTAAGTGAATCACAAGCTTAAACGTAATTCTCATCAACATGTAAAATTCCAATAAATTGCCCTACAAGGTCCATGGATCATGATTCATCAAAATTCCTAGAATTACTTCAGTGAACATGTATAATGATCTAGTTCAAGTAATCAATTCATCACATTCATAATTCGAATACAATCTACTAACAATGACCCATATTCATGCTTCAAGATCCAATTTAGGGAAACATAGAAATTCATGGATTCTTAGATATTTCCTTAGGAAAACATTAGTTATCCATCAAATTGATCATAATATAAGACAATAAACCATTGAAATTGTTTTGAAAGTGAATCCATGACATAGATTGAAAATCCTAGGTTTTGGAGAATTTCAACTCAACTTATGAGACTTTCATATTAGGCGAAATAGTCTAATGGACCTTTGTACTTATATAAGTTTGTATTTTGAACCCTTATACTTGACTCTTTATCAACTAAATCCTTAAACTCAATGAAATTCGATATTTTAAGCCCTTCTAACCATTGACCAAGCTTACATGGCCGTTTATTTATTGAGTTGACACCAACACGTGATTTCACGCGTAGAAGGAGCGTGAACTCCAAATTTTGGACTGAATTTTTTTTTAAAAAAAAGACCAAAAATAATAATAAAAAATAAATCACTTCTTTCTTCTTTTCCTCCTAGCCCACCCCATTTCTCTTTCTCTCTCTAATTATCATTACCTTCTTCCCCATTCAACCCCCATATCCTTCTTTTTTATCCCCTTCCCACATCTCCAATTTCTCTTTTCCTTCTTTTTTCATATTTTATTTTTTCTAGCAAACAAAAATGTGTTGTTATGGTAGATCTATTTTTCCTTCTATTTTTCTGGGTTATTTATAATTCATAAGGTGACAAAGATTCAATAATCTTGAAGGATGAAAAGTGATTATTGAATGTCTTTGTGATATATGATGAATGTATTATGTAAAATTGTGTACAAATATTGTGATCTATGGTGATATTTTAATGGTGATTTATTGATATTAATGGAGAAAAGAAATTTATGTTGATTCTAATGGATGATGTAAACGTTGGTAAAAAAAATACGATTCAGAGTTATGAATGTTAGAAACTTCCAGAAAAAGTTGAATTATAATTTTTAAGAACTTGAAGAGTATGGTCATAACTATAGACAAAAACCGGACATGAAGAAGAAAAAAAAGGGTGAATGGAGATGGTGTTAATGGTGGTTGTGGATTGAAGGAGGTGGGGGAAGGTGAGAGAAATAACTATTTTATTTTATTTTTGTAAATAGAAGATTTATTATTTTTGTCCTTTATGAAATAACATTTTTGGTTAATAATTTAAAAATATTTATGACATGGAGTTATTATATTTGACGTGAATATGACATGTCATTTGTGTAAGAGAGAGTGAGCTCCACACATGATTTGAGGGGTTTAAAAGTCTCACTTTAATTGAGTTTAAGAGTTCAGATGACAAAAAGTTAAGTAGAATGATTCGAAATACAAATGCATACAAGTATAAAGGTCCATCAAATCATTTCGTCTTTATATTATAACAAAAAATATAATTTAAAAAATCTAATTTACACGTCCAACCATGAATTCAGATTCATATAATCTAATCTCATATAGTATACATGTTCAAACGGCCATAAGCCATTCACTTGACATGTTCGGTTACCGATCTTATAATTTCCACATCCATTTGACCATTTCCCCTTTCCGTATCCCTATTTATTAAAAAATTTAAAATCTCTTATTTGCTTTTCTTCTTTTTATTTTACTCTTACCTTAACTTCTTCACCCCCTTCTGCCATCTTCTCTCTCACAGCTTCTTTGCCGATCCTCCACAGACAAATTCACACAAAATCTCTGTTTTTCCCTAAAAGGGTTGCTTCTGTATGCAATTTTATCAATACCCAGAAGAAATTCTTGTTCTACACATCCAAGATTTGCTCTGTAGGGTTATCGCAGTGGCGTTCTTAGGATTTTTTCGGTTTTCATCAACCCCATATCAGCAAAAGTTATAATAGGTTGGTTCTCTTCATACCCATCTCGATTTTTGTTCTAATTTGCGATGTATGTTTGGAATTATTCAATTTTAGATTGTGGGGTTGTTCAAGAATTGATTTTTATGATAGTTTTGTGTAAAAAAGATTGCATTTTTTTCAGGGTTGGTGATTTTTTTGTTGAAAGTTATGGTGTCTTCGATGTTTTGCTATGCACCCAGTTGAAACAGACACGGATTATCCTCCGTTTTACTCAAGAAAGAGATTAAAGTCTTTAGATTTGATGGGAATGGATGCAACTTCAATGGATACTGTTGGGGATGAAAAACACGATGATGTAGTGTCTACAATGGAGTTAACTGTTGGGTATTGCCTATTTTCAATGAAGATTGTATTTTTTAGTTTTGTGTTCACAGACCAAATTATTTATAGAGTGAAGGGTGAAAACCACAGCTAAAATATCCATTTTTTCTAAGTTTCATACATGAACTATTAGGTGGGTGAGTTTACTATTTTGATGGAGGACAAATAGACTTCTTACATTTTCTGCAATTTCGATTCCCTTCTTATGACTTTCTTTGCTTAATATTGTGTGTGAAATAGGTCAACGAAGAATCAAGTTGGTTCTTTGAAGATCATGAAGGGATGAAACATGGGCCGCACTCTCTTATGGAGCTTTATTCATGGTGTCATTATGGATACATTGTGGATTCAGTGATGATGAGTTTGTGTATCCGTAGCATTTTTCTAGGTCCTATATTTAGCTCTGTAGTACATGGTGCAGCTGTTTCTCCTACAATCCCAGCCTTTCTGTTGGAAGATGTTTGTTTTATTATGTTGGATGTACAATTGAATTTTCTGAGCATAGGCTACATGTAAACTGAACATATGTAAAACAGTTTACCCGGTTTTGATGGGTGGAATCCCTCGATTGAGCTGCTACACTGCTACTGATCACTTAACTTTTTTAAATTAGATATGGCTGGGTTTTAGTCGAAGTATAAAAACTGAGAGAACTCTTTTGACTGAATATAAGTATTTTTATGAGTGCATATAATTTTTTTTACTATAGAAGCAAACTTGGGGAGGTGGGGAGTGGCCGTATATATTATTTTTATGAACAACCTAGGAAATGGAGCCTTTTTGTTTGTGATAATGTTGTACATACAGTGGGAACTTAATAGGATTCATTTCTGTAAAGGTGAATTCTCAGAATTTGTGCTGTGCAAAGTTCTATTACCATAATTTCTTGCATATTCCAAAAGAATCCTGTTCTTGTTTCTGTATGGGCTCGTCGGATCTCTATTGTTCTTGTTGTCTTTTTTTTCCTCCCGGCTTGTGTCAATTTGGCCTTAACCCATAGTCTCTTCCCATTTTATCTGTAGGATTATATTCTCACTCATCTTCCGATATCCTCCAAACTTGCCATTTTTTGAATTTGGCATAATTTTCCTACATTCTTTGTGCTTGTCGCTTGGTTAATGGTCTTGTCAAAACTTGGAAAGGTCTCTCTACAAACTGTTAGTCTATTGTACTTTTATATAAATTGTTCCACGCTACACTCTCCGAACTGAACCCAAAATTAACTAAGCAATTCTGTGAAGTAGTTTCCTCTTTTCTTCACCAATCTTCACATCAGTTTAACTTTATTCCCCTTTTTTAATTATCCCACGAGTTTCAACATGCTTCCCTTTGTTTAAGCCTCATATAGTTTAACTATTAATTTAGGTTCTAGACAGTTGGAAATACAGTTCATGGTTCCAATTATTAATGAGTTTAAAATTGGAGAGTTCAGTCATTTGCAACCATAGTGATAATCACCTGAGAATTCTATTCTTTTAAGTAGTTGCTTTTAATTTTTACTTAGGTTTCTGAACTAATTGCCTCAGTGTTAATTAGGGTTTCTACTTGATTTTTTGGGTACATTTACTTCTCTATGAATACCTATTTGCCTCATTTAGTAGGTTATTTAAGTTTTACTTTTCTTCCAAGTTTTTGTTCCCATAGGAGAGACATGGTAACTAATCACCAATTAAGTTTTCTTTTAACTGGTTTTGTGTTGATTTGAGGATTTTGACCTTTTTTTCCCTTGTTGCTTGCATTTATTGGAGATTGTCCAACTCTTTCATGCTATGTGATACTACACCTAAGTGGTATGTGCTTATTGCTTGCTCATTGATGTTGACTTTTGCAGATACATCATGCTGCTGATAAGTATAGACCCTTTAGTTTGAAATCTTTGATTAGTAGTTGGACTACGGCTACCCCTGGAGCTCTCTTTTTGTCTAATCCCGATGGGCATGAGACTGCATCCTTACAAGATTTCGTGTTAGAATAGGAATAGGTTTATACAATCCTATTAGAATAGGAATATGTTTATACAATCCTATTAGAATATGAATAGGTTTATACAATCCTATTAGAATAGGAATATGTTTATACAATCCTATTAGAATATGAATAGGTTTATACAATCCTATTAGAATAGGAATAGTAATAGAAATAGGAATACTAAATAGTATCTTACTTGGTAAAAGATTGTATTCTAGGGTCTATAAATAGGATCTCAATGTAATAATGTAAACAACACAATAATTCAATAATATTCTTTTCCTATATTTCTCACATGGTATCAGAGCCTCTACGATCTTGGTAGAAAATCTAAGAGCTTTCGCTGCCGGCGGGAGGCTATTACTCATATATGCTGCCCATCTGGCCAACAATTATGTTAGCAAAAGTTGGGTCAGTGACTACTTTCTTATATCTAATTTGTGTAGCACCGTGCCATCATTCCGGGGACTACTTTTTCATATTTAATTTTTGTAGCACCGTGCCATCATTCCGGTGACTACTTTTACATATTTAATTTGTGTAGCACTGTGCCATCATTCCAGTGACTACTTTTTCATATATAATTTGTGTATCACCGTGACATCCTTTCGGTGACTACCTTTTTTTTGCATATCTGATTTGCGTAGCACCGTGCATCTCTCCGGACTACTTTTCATATTTAATTTGTGTAGTACCGTGGATTTTTCCAAACTATTTGATCCTGAGAGGGGTGCAGAAGCTCCTAATTTTCTTAACCGGAAATCTCTTTATCCCTTTGAAGTCTTCAGGAGGCTCAAAATCTATTGGAAGCTTTGAGAACTATTGTGATTCTTATACAGTTGTTTGCAGGAAGTTATTTGACTCTTGCATGCAAAGTATCTGGAATGCTGTCTTCTATGACCATGTTTCAGAGTATTCATCTGCGTGGAGGAAGAGAAAACAATGGTCACCTCCTTGTCTGATGATTGAATCGAACATTCAAGCAATCTCATATGCTAATTGCACCACAAAGCTTTCTACTGAAGTTTTAAGCTTTTTATGCTGATTTTTGGGGTCACTTTGCAGTGCTTGCATATCCTGTCTTACTGACAAACCTATAACTTTGTAGTTGCAAGTGGAGGAAGAATCCTTTCCCCCAGGGTTTGAGAAAAAGAATGTGACAGTGGATTTGCCTTCAGTTTCATCATCAAAAGATTGCACCGTGGAGCGTTCTACTGAAGTTGTAAGGTTTTCTATGCTGATGTTTTTCCTGTCAATTTGCAGTGGTTGTCTTTGCTGCCTTACAGATTGACTTATGACTTTGCAGTTGCAAGTGGAGGAAGAATCTTTTGGCTGTGATCCTGATTACCCCCCAGGGTTTGAGGAGAAGAACATGACAGCAGATAATCCTTCAGTTCCGTCATCAAAAGATTGCACCGCAGAGCTCTCTACTGAAGTTGTAAGCTTTTTTATGCTGTTGTTTTTCCTGTCAATTTGCAGTGGTTGTGTGTGCTTCCTTACAGACTGACGTATGACTTTGCAGTTGCAAGTGGAGCAAGAATCTTTTGGCTGTGATCTTGATTTCCCCCCAGGGTTTGAGGAGAAGAACTTGACAGCGGATTTGCCTTCAGTTTTGTCATCAAAAGATTGCACCGTGGAGCTCTCTACTGAAGTTGTAGGTTTTTTTATGCTGTTGTTTTCCCTGTCAATTTGCAGTGGTTGTGTGTGCTTCCTTACAGACAGACTTATGATTTTGCAGTTGCAAGTGGAGCAAGAATCTTTCGGCTGTGATCTTGATTTCCCTCCAGGGTTTGAGGAGAAGAATATGACAGTGGATTTGCCTTCAGTTTCATCACCTTTTAATGATGAAAAGGTGTTGTCGAGATCCAGTCATGCAACGGACCCTGAAGCTAATGATCGTATGCAACCTATCCTTGAGAGTGTATTGGATGAACTCCACTTGTCTACAAAGATGTCCTTAGAAGAGTATTTCACTAGCCTTTTGCATGAAGAGGTGATGGGAAAAGTTGATTCGCTTAAAGATGGCATGATAATCAAGGTGAATACTTGAACTTGTTGTGATCTGTGTAAACTTTATCCCTCTCCCCTAGACGTGCATAGGTGGTGGAGATATTTTGTTGAAGTAATCCCTTACCTGATAAAGTTTCCCCTGTTTAATTCGAGATGTCAATGCTTACCGTAATATAATGAACTTCAGCATCTCAAGGAACAGTTCTATTCTGCAGGTTGCTGAGGACCCAAATATTTTTAATGGCGTTGCAAGTCAAAATGATTTTTCTGAGGCCATTTTGGTGTCAGAAAACTTGGCTCATGTTGATATTCAGAATACTTCCTCGCGCAAAAAGTCATTGCACCAGAACTCTATTGATCCATATGTGATTTCTGTGTCAGATTGGTTTTCAAGTGCATTTCAGAAGTCTGCCGATTTAGACAATGCCTCCAGTAATGGAACGACTGATGAGCTGCAACCACCCGATTGCGAAGCTGTTCCTGTACAAACTTCTAAAGTTAGACTTGCTAGGTCTGATGATTCTATTTTGAGAATAATATGGTATGTGACCCTGTCAAATTGCCGGGAGAGGGTACATGAGAAAGCACTGAGAGAGTTGAATACCAAATTGTTGTATCTTGCTTCATCTATTCTTCGGGTTCAGTTAATTTCGGGTAAGTTATTCGTAAATCTTTCAATTCTTTTCTTGAATTTGTTTGATCTTCGTATGTCTTTAGTTTGTTAACTAACTAAAAAAATAATAATTTTAAAATACATAAATGAAAATAAATAAGTCAAATAGATGTTTAATTCATGTAGAACTTTAAGTTCATTGTGGAGTGTTTGTATCTGTTATTTATAATTGTTTAGGCTTCATTGTTAGTTTTATTAGATTTAAAATAGTTGTAACTGTTGTATTGATATTTAGGATGAGCAATTGTGTTTCACGATATCTAAGTTATAGAATTGATCGGTCTTAAATGTGTTTATTTGCAAATTCGTTGATTTGTTGGTAGGTTTATAGTTGGAAATGGTTCATTTTGATCTACTGTTCAGTTGTTCTTTTTTCTTCTTCTGTTCAATTTGGCTGTTTTTAGCTATCTTTTGTTTGATTATTCATGTTTCTGCTATCTAACATTGTGTTTGGACATCCCATCTAATTTTTAACTTATATACACTTGTGAATAAGCTGCAAGTTGTAACTTACATATTCACACAATACCCAACCAGTTAATAACTTCGGGAGACTCATTTCATAAGCACCAACATAAACTGAAAGAGGTTAAAAAATCATGTGTGTGGACATTTTTCTTCAACAAATAAGCCATCAGCAGAAGTACTATATATATGCAGTCACGTGAACAATGCAAATGAAAAGACCATAATGAACATAAATCTTACTACAATACAGCACAAAATTAATAAATTAATTAACAACCTTTTAATGAAGATCATGTTATGAATCAAAAGGTTTTTCTCCAATTGATAAGCTCAACTACAAAGGAAATTGACTACGCAATACTATACAAAATATATAAAAGTACTCTGAAGTAGAGAAATAGGAAGAAGAGAAGAAAAGTAAAGGAGAAGTAAGCTTAAACAAAAATTCCACATTTCAACAACATATTTCCACCTTTCTTATAATCCTGGTCTTTTTACATAAACATCACCCTTTATTCTGTTGGATTCCAGTCTGTCCGAAGCACATTCGATAATTTACAAACCATTTGGGAATCCTTCTTATGTGCTTTGCCTAAACCCCATGTTGTAATCAACATACCCTTTGGAAATTCTTGTTACGTGTGCAACTAGATGTTGTGAATGCAGTTTATGATCAAATAAGAACCCACTTAGATAGATATTGTGTCTATTTGTTAATGCATTTCTGTTTCTATTAAGAAGACATATGATTGATGTTATCTATAATTATATTTGAAGTGAACTTAAAACCTAACACTGGAAAGTAGTCGATTCATATTGGTTAAGAAGACAAAACACATACCTTGGTTAACTTAAGATGATGAGTGTTATCATGTCAACAGTAAATATTTGAGCATCTTTGTCTGTTTGTTGAGTATGAGGGCGAGTGATAAGCATGCAGCTAATCAACATCATTTTCTTCTTGTAACTGGATAGAGAGCTCTACACTATCCCTCTAATTACAGATTTTGTTGAAGAATTTGCATTGTTTTAACATATTTTCAGGCGAACAAAGAATGTTCTATCAAGATTAAAGTTCTATATTTACTTAAAACTTTCTTTATGCATGTAGCTTATTAGTACATTATTACAGATGATACTGAACTATGTCTACTATAGTTAAATTACACAAGAGCATAACTGGAGGGATTTATGTTCATTGTCACCAATTACTCGATGTTCAAAAAAATGTGAGTATATGTTTGGCTTCTTTAGAGGTCATTAAGCCTTTCTTTTCATCTTAAGGCATATGGATTTTACTCTTGATTGTGATGTTAAATTGTGTAGTTACTCCCCTGAAGATGGATGGCAACTAAAGATGAAAAGTAATTTAAAAGATTGGGAGTTAGCTGCTCTAACTGATCGTCTTTTGCTCATGTAGGGATATGGAGGTAATCGAGATGAAAGAGATAAGAGTATGGTGAATTTCTAGCAGCAAAGGTGAATTTTCTATGAGTTCTTGTGACAAGAATTCACAAGGGACGTGAAAATATCGGAGAATGGCTAGAAAAATATATCTAGAAAAGCATGAGAAGGATGACCAAGGGTAAGAACATTTAACCTATAATTTAACTGCTACATTGCTATCTTACTATACGTCTTCCCGAGCCTTCCTCTCCATCTCCATCTCTTTTTCTCTCTCCTTCTCTCTTTAGAAATAAACACTGAACTTTTACCTTACAACACTTGACAAATTCTAATTCAAATTACGATTTATGGGTACCTGAATATTTATTTCCGTGTCTGCTGATTTAGAACCAGGATTTTGGGGAAATTTTCTTGGAGCTGAAGGAAAGAACCATGAAGCTAAATAACATAGTCAAAGAGGCCCTAAATCCACTGTACCTTAACAACATTCACATACAAGCCGATCAATGGCTACAGGATTTTCAACGCACTATTGATGCTTGGCAGGTTTGATAACTTTTATCTAATTATTATTGTTAGGTCTCTCTAAATTTAATCAATAGGAACAATTGTTAAGAGAAATGAGATAGATTTCAATTTTGAGTATGCCATTACCGTGCTTATATGAAGCGGACAAGAAGAAACAAATTTTCATTTCAGATTGGCTCGAATAGTGGAATGGATAAAGATGATTTTGTAGTGAAACCAACTAATTTGGGATTGCGATATACTTCATTGATTGATTTTTCATTGGATTTATGGTTTTCAAATAAGAGAAACTTCCTACATAAGTGATGAAAGAATTAAAGAACCATTTATCTATAGTAATATAAATTGAACAATTTGCTTAATTTCTGACTTCTTAATCTCGCTTGCTCCATCAGTCGTATATACAAATTAAGAACGAAAGAATCAGAGAACGTATACATCTATCAATTGCGAATAATTCTACTAGAGGTACCAATCAGCTCAATATGAAATAGAAAATGTGAAACTTCATGTAACAACGATAAGACCCTCTATTACTTGAACACTCAATATTGTTGTTCTTCTACCAGAAGGATTTTTCTATCTAAGGAAGGTTATGGTTTTGGAGATATAATTTATAGTAGTGTTAGATAATGTGTTGATTCTACTGGTAGACACAGAGCAGTAAACATAAGATTGACTTTAGAAAGATAATGCTAGGATATGATGCAACAAAACTGAAAACATTCTTCTTATACCCACCCCTCCCCTAATGCAGTTATTGTTATTCTGCTGTAGTGGTAACTTCTTACAATATTCTTATATTTAAGTCAACAACATGGGACAAACAATGTAATATTTAATTGTAGAAGATGTTACGTGAATTGCACTACAAACTAGACTTATCTTATTGATAAACGAAGACACGTGTACTGCACTCTTTTAATTTGGCAAACCACGTGTGTTTTCCCAAATACCCACACAATATTATATTATGTATTCCTGTGTCCAATTTTCCCTCCTTCAGTGGTACAGTTCTTCAATTTATTTGGGTAAGTTTTTCAAATCTTTTGTGCTTCTATTTCTTTTCATAGGTATAGTTTTGTGCTTATATTGTATTTAATGTGCACCCTCGATTCTGCTAGACTGTGTCTCCAGATAATAATTTAGTGATTGACTGTTTCTTACCAAAGCTAAAATCTTCTTTTCTTTCTTTGATTTTTCCTATTAAAGTTTCAAGTTGTATGTCCTTGGTTGTACTGTATTTTTCCACTCTTGTGATTATTCTTCTATTCTTAAGGGTAAGACATTCCATTGTTTCTTATAGGACTTTAACGGGTATGTGTTAGCTTTGTCCTCCTCTTGGAATATTTTCATGCATGTTGTGAATTTTGTCCCCCGTGCTCATGTGTGTTTCAATTTTCTCACAAACGGCTAATTTTACTTATGTCATAACAATATTTTTGAATTATGTTTTTCTCTTCTTCGATGTTATTATGTTTCTGTTATTTTTATGAGATCTTAATTAAGGGTGTGTTATGAAGGAAACTGTTTCCATGGAAAATGTTTTCCTGGAAAACAAGTTGATTTTTGACTTATTTTCTTATGTTTGGTTGGTGAGTAGAAAATATTTTTTGAAAAAGATTTTTAGTGTTTGATTTATGAATGAAAAATGTTTTTGAGAAATATCTATTTTTTTATTAGAATAGAAAATAATTTTTGAAATTGGAAATATTTCTTAAAATCAAACTTTAATTTTTTTTGGGGGTGGGGGTGGTAGGGGGTGGATGGGGG